GAATGATGAGTATAGACACTTCCAGAACATTTTTGTGGCCCACCTGAACTGTAATTGCCAAGATCACAGCCATTGTCACTCGCATCCCACGGCGCAGGTTAACCCTTCGCTCTATGGACCGGGCCTCCCGGTTGAACAAGTCGCTGCGAATCCAAATCCTAAACAGGGTGAACAAAACAGATTTTCCTCCCCCAGATTTTTAACACGGCGACATATAACCGGCACCCCTCGTGCCTACCCCAGCAGATTCCCTAGCCGCAGACCGCGACACGCCGTTACACATTATAGCAAAGTTATTGATCAACTTGTGTCTTGTGTGCGTTTGGACTCGGAGGCGTAGCTCTACCCCTCACCCCTCGGGGCTGAACTGGCCTGGAAAGTATGTGTGCAACTAAAAAAAAAAAATGTAAAAATGTCGCCAACCAAACTTTTTTTTTTTTGCAAGTTGGTGCGTGCCGTGTGCGAAAGGCTGCCGGTCGGGAGGACGGCGGATTGGATTGAGCAGTCCCCAGGTAGACTCGGCCACATGGCAGGTTTGTTTTTTTTTTTTTTACCTGTTTGCTGCAGAGATTTAATGGGGGGTCCACCGGTCTCATCCTTCTCAGTAAGGGGGGGGGGGGCAAAGCTGAGCGATGGGATGTGACAGTCGCAGTGCGATCCCCAGGAGGGAGGAAGGAATTTCCTGTAAGTGGATCAGGCCAGGTGAGAGCGAGGGGGCAGAGTACATTCAGGAAGACAGGTGGAGGAGGGAGGCAGGTGAGGACACACCTACAGGGCTCACACGTCACTCACAAGGCAGGCTGGGACAGGCAGGGGGTAGGGGCGGCCAGGAGCACGCTAGGCCTGCACAACGCATGACGCTGACGACCACAGACGCACGGCCCTTTGCGACTGACAATAAAAATGATTCCTAATTCCAAGCCAAGGCCCATTTAGATGTCTCCCTGTATGTAGAGGTGCCTAGGGCCCCGTTCACACCTATGCAGTTTCCTCTTCGCAGTTCGTTTTTGCGTTTTTCTACATACGTTTTTGATGCGTTTTGCATTTTGTTCAGCTTTTTTTTTAAGTGGATATTTTTTTTTTGCTGGGTAAAATGTAAAACGCGGCAAAATGCACTACCACGCATTTCAGCAGATTCTCCTTTTCAGTTTCCTTTTCGCAGTTCATTTTGCGTTTTTTTACATGCATTTTTGCATTTTGTTCAGCTTCTTTTTTAAGTGGATATTTTTTTTTTGCTGGGTAAAATGTAAAACGCGGCAAAAACACACTACCACCACGCATTTCAGCAGATTCTCCTTTTCAGTTTCCTTTTCGCAGTTCATTTTGAGTTTTCCTACATGCGTTTTTGACGCGTTTTTGCATTTTGTTCAACTTTTTTCTTTTTTTTTTTTTGTTTAAAGTGGAATTTTTTTTTTGCTGGGCAAAACGCACTACCACGCATTTCAGCAGATTCTCCTTTCAACTCCATTGTAGCAAAATTGCTGCTTTTTGTGTTTAAAAAATTCCCTGACGCTTTCCAAAAACGCAGGGGATCAAAAAGGAACAGATGTGAACGTGTCCCATAGGAAACCATGTTACATGTTACAAAAAGCAGCGATTTTGCTACAATAGAGTTGAAAGGAGAATCTGCTGAAATGCGTGGTAGTGCGTTTTGCCCAGCAAAAAAAAAATTCCACTTTAAACAAAAAAAAGAAAAAAGTTGAACAAAATGCAAAACGCGTCAAAAATGCATGTAGGAAAACGCAAAATGAACTGCGAAAAGGAAACTGAAAAGGAGAATCTGCTGAAATGCGTGGTAGTGCAATTTACATTGTAGTGCGTTGCACTAAAAAACGCATCAGTGTGAACGGAGCCTTATTTTATCACATTTGATAGGTGGCTTGACATGCGTCTACATGCGGTTTTTGACGCATGTTTCCAATTCATTTTTTAATTTACAATTTGGAGTGGATGGGGTTAACAGCCATTTGGGCTTGTTAAAGGGGAACTCCCTGCGACTGCGTAGATGTGTGTGTCGCAGCATGTCTGGACCTGGGCACGGGGTTCCCATGCATGCGCACGGGGTTCCCTCTGCGAACTCCCAGAGAAAGCAGGATCTGCGCACATGTGCAGGGATTTCCTGCAACTTGGGAAGACATGCTTCAGGTTCTTTGTCAGGTTCCAAATACATGGCATGAAGCGCAGTCATGTCTGCACATGCGCAGATGTCGCAGCACGGGCGTGCCCCTGTGTAGCACGCTGCCTCCTGGAATGTGGTGTGGGGGCTGCAGGTAATCCTCACCGAGGCAAAAATATTTAACATTCACCAATTTTGTAAGCCTGCGTTTACGCGTGCCCATTCGCTGAAAAGCGATCTGTGGGGGATCGCTTTTCAGAAGGAGGCTAAGCAGCTTTCAGGCGATCCGGCTGCCTCCTAAATGCCTGTTTGTTTGGGTTTTTTTTTTTTTTTTTTTTGCAATGGGATTGTGCCACATGTAGCAATAGCAGGGGCGGACTGATCATTTGGAAGTGGATGGGGCCCCCGGGCAATAGGGGATCATGGGGCCCGTGTCCTTGCCCAAACTCAAAAAAGCCTATGAAAAAGGTACCAGGGGCATCTCATGGGGCCCTCTACTGACCCCGGGCCCTCGGGCAGTGCCAGAGTTTCCAAATGGTCAGTCCGCCCCTGTTCCCGTGATATGTGTATTGATGCACTGCCATTGACTTCTATGGTCCTTCCCATGATATGCGTTTTGATGCACTGCCATTGACTTCTATGGGCCTTTCTATTATATGCGTTTGGATGCATTGTCATTGACTTCTATGGGCCTTCCCATGATATGCGTTTTGATGCACTGCCATTGACTTCTACGGTCCTTCCCATGATATGCATTTGGATGCACTGCCATTGACTTCTATGGTCCTTCCCATTATATGCGTTTTGATGCACTGCCATTGACTTCTACGGTCCTTCCCATGATATGCATTTGGATGCACTGCCATTGACTTCTATGGTCCTTCCCATTATATGCGTTTTGATACACTGCCATTGACTTCTGTGGTCCTTCCCATTATATGCGTTTTGATAGACTGCCATTGACTTCTGTGGTCCTTCCCATTATATGCGTTTTTGATAGACTGCCATTGACTTCTGTGGTCCTTCCCATGATATGCGTTTTGATACACTGCCATTGACCTCTATGGGCCTTCCAAATCATTTAAATGCAGAAAAAAGTAGTATTTTTCCAAAAAATGCAGCATTGAGATGGGAACACACTATTTTTATTATAGGAAGGTTGAACATATGCGTTTTACCATGTTGCATACAAGTGATAAAACACAAAGGTGTAAATTGGCCCCTGGAGGAAGAAATTGTAAGGTATGAGGACAGCTTTTAGGACTTATGTAGATCTCTGCATGTGCGTAGATGTGCATTTTTCCCATGCCAGGCAGGTACGCTGACTTACATCAACGAGCATTTTCTTTGTGTGCTGACATGCATTTTGATGCAGGTTTTTAATGCGTTTTTTAATTTGGAATTTGTCTGTTGCCAATGCATGAAAGCACATGTCATATCCCACTACATCCATGAGTGCCTATTGGAATCCCACAGCAAAAAGGAACGTGAAAGGAGATTCACAAAGAAGCGGTTACATTATCGACAGAAAGAGATACTTAATAAAATTATGCTTTATTCAGGGGCGGACTGACAACTCATGGGGCCCCCGGGCAATAGGGGATCATGGGGCCCCTGTGTCCTTGCCCAAACTCAAAAAAGCCTATGAAAAAGGTACCAGGGGCATCTCATGGGGCCCCCTACTGACCCCGGGCCCTCGGCGGTGCCCGAGTTTCCAAATGGTCAGTCCGCTCCTGGCTTTATTACACAATACACATGTGGACATCTAAGGTAAATACCTCAGTTAGTCATCACCTCAGCGTGAGATAATACATCGAAATTGACCTAAAATCACCTAAAAACAGACGTCATGACGGGTCAAAGTAATGAAGTGCTGCAAATTTAGTGACAGTTGGTCTAATACATATGCAGCACTGACACAATGGTTACACGGCCATGCGGGGGTGTATCAAAAAATTGTTCCAAAAATGGCATAACAAACAACGCAGTATATGGCTGATCATAAGTACCAGATAATGGATATAGTTGCCCAAAAAAACCTAAACAGGTATATATAGATATATAAATATCACCCAAACCGTACACTCCGCCCCTCGCAAGATCTCTTACTCTCTAGCTCCCTTATCGCCTTCTCCCATGTTCGTCTCCAAGACTTCTCCAGGGCGTCTCCCATCCTCTGGAACTCCCTACCCCAATCTATCAGATTATCACCTACTCTACTTGCCTTTCGGCGTTCACTGAAAACCTTTCCCTTCAGGGAAGCCTATCCTGCCCTCTGCTAATTCTGGTATCCTCTACTCTTCCAGCCACTCCATCCCCCACGGTGACTACCTACTTTACCATTCACCCCTCCCTCCTAGATTGTAAGCTCCAAGGATCAGGGCCATCTAATCTCTCTTGTATTGAACTGTATTGTTGCTGTATTGTCTCCTGTTATATTGTAAAGCGCTCAGCAAACCGCTGGCGCCATAAATCCTGTATAATAATAATAATATAGACTGTAGAGAGATATATAAAGACAATCTGCCTCCACAACCAGGGGCGGACTGACCATTTGGAAACTCGGGCCCTGCCCAAGGGCCTGGGGTCAGTAGGGGCCCCTATGAGATGCCCCTGGTAACTTTTTCATAGGCTTTTTTGAGTTTGGGCAAGGAAACAGCGGCCCCATGATCCCCTATTGCCCGGGGGCCCCATGAGTTGTCAGTCCGCCCCTGTCCACAACCACTAACTGGGTAATAACCAGAACAGGTAGTAGTGATGGTAGGGTTAGTATGGCAAAAGTAGGTGGTGGGGTATCAAACAGCAGCAGTCATGTCCAGGATACGTGATAAGATGAACTTGATAGCCGTAGTATTGTCACCATGTGACTTCCACAGTGTTGTAGACAGGGGCGGACTGACAAATCATGGGGCCCCTGGGCAATAGGGGATCATGGGGCCCCTGTGTCCTCGCCCACACGCAAATCACACCCAGAAAAGCCTATGAAAGGTACCAGGGACATCTCATGTGGCCCCCTACTGACCCCGGACCCTTGGGCAGAGCCCGAGTTCCCCAATGGTCAGTCCACCCCTGGTTGTAGAAATGGCAGGGCCCTGCCGTAAAGGGATTCTTCACCGCCACGTGTGGGCTACACACCTCCTTCATAATAATACTGTTATGTTGAATACAGGAGCATCCGTGCCTTTTAGTAAACATAGTGTGCTGTGCGCCTTTAGATAGTGTAACACGGGTGGACTGACAACTCATGGGGCCCCCAGGCAATAGCGGATCATGGGGCCCCTGTGTCCTTGCCCACACTCAAAAAAGCCTATAGAAAAGGTACCAGGGGCATCTCATGGGGCCCCCTACTGACCTCGGGCAGTGCCCGAGTTTCCAAATGGTCAGTCCATCCCTGTGTTACATGATGTCCCCATCCTGAAATAAATAGGTGACATATGGGAAGTCAATAAGTGAGTCACTTAAAGTGGACAGGCAATGGCGTTTATATGCCGTATTCCCGTTTACATGTATTGCATATCACTCACCACCCATGCCTTAGGTGATATTCTTGCAGAGTTTCCCTCGTCAGGATAACCACCCATGGTCCTGGAGGAAGCCGCCACTATCGGGACTAGAAGCAGACGGGCTCCGTTCCCATCCTGGTACTCGTCCAGCCTGACACCGCTAAACGCCGGCGTGTATTACCGCTCCCCCTGAAGGACTACGTGGGTGGCGCTAAGGCGTCCGACTGGAAGTGACGTATCTGACGTATGACGTCAACGCGTTTCGCCGATGGGCATATCTTACTCAGCTTACTCAGGGCTAATGAGATCCTACCTTACATGCATTATTTATACTAGGCTTGTGACCTCCCATATACAGGTGAAACTCGAAAAATTAGAATATCGTGCAAAAGTTCATTTATTTCAGTGCAGCAACTTAAAAGGTGAAACTAATATATGAGATAGACTTATTACATGCAAAGCAAGATAGTTCAAGCCGTGATTTGTCATCATTGTGATGATTATGGCTTACAGCTCATGAAAACCCCAAATCCACAATCTCAGAAAATGAGAATATTGTGAAAAGGCGCAATATTCTCAACTCAAAGTGTCCCACTCTAATCAGCTGATTAGGCCAGAACACCTGCAAAGGGTTCCTGAGCCTTTAAATGGTCTCTCAGTTTGGTTCAGTAGGAATCACAATCATGGGAAAGACTGCTGACCTGACAGTTGTGCAGAAAACCATCATTGACACCCTCCATAAGGAGGGAAAGCCTCAAAAGGTAATTGCAAAAGAAGTTGGATGTTCCCAAAGTGCTGTATCAAAGCACATTAATAGAAAGTTATGTGGAAGGGAAAAGTGTGGAAGAAAAAGGTGCACAAGCAGCAGGGATGACCACAGCCTGGAGAGGATTGTCAGGAAAAGGCCATTCACAAGTGTTGTGGACTTTCACAAGGAGTGGACTGAGGCTGGAGTCAGTGCATCAAGAGCCACCCACACACAGACGGATCCTGGACATGGGCTTCAAATGCCGTATTCCTCTTGTCAAGCAGCTCCTGAACAACAAACAAAGTCAGAAGCGTCTTACCTGGGCTAAAGAAAAAAACAGACCTGGTCTGTTGCTCAGTGGTCCAAAGTCCTCTTTTCTGATGACAGCAACTTTTGCATCTCATTTGGAAACCAAGGACCCAGAGTATGGAGGAAGAATGGAGAGGCCCAAGGACCCCGAGTATGGAGGAAGAATGGAGAGGCCCAAGGACCCCGAGTATGGAGGAAGAATGGAGAGGCCTAAGGACCCAGTGTATGGAGGAAGGATGGAGAGGCACACACTGCACAATGCTTGAAGTCCAATGTGAAGTTTCCACAGTCTGTGTTGATTTGGGGAGCCATGTCATCTGCTGGTGTTGGTCCACTGTGCTTCATTAAGTCCAGGGTCAATGCAGCCATCTACCAGGAGATTTTTGAGCACTTCATGCTTCCTTCTGCAGATGAGCTTTATGGGGATGCTGACTTCATTTTCCAGCAGGACCTGGCACCTGCCCACACTGCCAAAAGCACCAAAACCTGGTTCAATGACCGTGGGATTACTGTGCTTGATTGGCCAGCAAACTCGCCTGATCTGAACCCCATAGAGAATCTTTGGGGCATTGCCAAGAGAAATATGAGAGACATGAGACCGAACAATGCAGAAGAGCTGAAGGCCGCTATTGAAGCATCCTGGTCTTCCATAACACCTCAGCAGTGCCACAGGCTGATAGCTTCCATGCCATGCCGCATTGAGGCAATAATTGCTGCAAAAGGGGCCCAAACCAAGTACTGAGTACATATGCAGCTTCTACTTTTCAGAGGTCCGATATTGTTCTATGTACAATCCTTGTTTTATTGATTGCATGGAATATTCTCATTTTCTGAGATTGTGGATTTGGGGTTTTCATGAGCTGTAAGCCATAATCATCACAATGATGACAAATCACGGCTTGAACTATCTTGCTTTGCATGTAATGAGTCTATCTCATATATTAGTTTCACCTTTTAAACCACTTGCCGTCCGCCTGCTGTTTATAAACAGCAGGGCGGTGGCACTCCAGTGGCGGGGTTGCCGTTCATAAACGGCACCCACCTTTTCTAGCTGTGCGCGCTCCCTGGGAGCGCGCAGCACTGCGATCCGGTGCCCGCTGTGTCCTTCGGACACAGTGAAACACCGATCATCGGACGGGACCTCTGTGCGAGGTCCTGATGATGTGATCACTGATTGGCCAATCAGTGATCACATGCAAAGTAGTAAGCAAGATGTCACTTGTGACATCATTGCTTACTATGTGTGAAATCTGTGAATGATCACAGAGGTCACATGGTACAAGGCTATTCACAACAGCCTTGTACCATGTGACAAGGTTTGACCAATCACAGCTCACTCAGTATTTCTCAATGGCTGCAAGAATGCAGAGAGAAAGAGAAATTATTGCTTTTACATCCTATATGGGTGTAAAAGCAATCACTGTAAAAAAAAAAAAAAAAAAAAATCTTCATCACCCCCCACAAGTAGTACAGTGTCACCATGGTGACACTGTACTGCTAGGGTGACAGTATTTAAAAAAAAACAAAAAACCCATAAATAATAATATAAAAAAAATAAAATAAAAATGTAAAAAAAAAAAAAGTTTAAAAATATAATTTTTGGTTATAAACTAATTTGGCTTATTTTTTTTTTTTACTAAAAATATAACGGAATACATTTTGGTCAAGATTTATTGATGATAAAAGATTATTTATTTGCAAAATTTTATAAGAAAAACACTTTTTTTCAAAATTTTTGGACATTTTCATTTACATAGCAAAAAAAATAAAAATCCCAGCGGTGAATAAATACCACCAAAATAAAGCTTTATCTGTCTCAAAAAAATGGTAAAAAATTCATATGGGTACAGTGTTGCATGACCACGCAATTGTCATTCAAAGTGTGATAGCGCTGAAAGCTGAAAATTGCCCTGGAAAGGAAGGGGGTGAAAGTGTCCGGACTGGAAGTGGTTAAGTTGCATTAATGAAATAATTGAACTTTTGCACGATATTCTCATTTTTAGAGTTTCACCTGTATATGTAAATCAGCTGATGGCAATTACACTCAATGGGATAAGAACTAAAATAATTATCAAATAACTGGTCATAGAACACAGATAGATATACAGAAACCCGGCTACACAGTGGGAAGAGAATATTCTTAAGTTCACACAATGTCATTTATGTGAGTTCTTAATAACTATCTTCATCACCTACAGGTGTCAGGGGACAGACGCTGCAAGTCTTCTGATTTTTGCACTTGGAGGTCAAATTCAACATTTAACCCTATAAATCCCTATTGGAATCCCCCTAAGGCTCCATTCACATTCTGCAAATGTGCGTGTTCATGGAGTGCGTTGAAAATGCATTCATTGTTATTAGCACTCCAAGGGCGGCCAGCTTGGTAAAACGCATGGTAAAAAAATGCACAAAGCTCAACATTCAGATAGGTAGAGGAGTGTCTGCTGTGCGGGTGCGGGCCCCCAAATGCAGACAGTGTGCGTTCGGGGTGCATGGCTGTCAGATTGAGAGCAGCAGCTGTGTCCATGCAGCTGATACATCTCCATTGAAATGAATGGGACTGCCTGCATGTGGATGCATGGAAAACCTGTGCGTTCCTGCGCGGGCAAACATGGCGTCCACATGGGCATACACTAAGGCTCAGTTCAGTGTTACGTTTTGTGGGGCTTGCGATTGTGCGGGAACAGCAGTCCATACATTTGAAGAGGCTGCTGTAGCTGCGGGAAAACGCAGGAAAAAGATCTCTGCACATTTTCAAAATCACAGCTGCTTTGAAATCGCGTGCTGCTTTTTTACCATGTGGTTTCATGCATCCGAAAACGCACTGTGCTCAGGTGTGTGTGGGTTAGGGATGAATGGCATCCTCTGTGTGTCTGCAAGAAGTAGGACGCTGTGGCAGCAGGTGCTTCTGGGAGCGGCAACATGTGCCATTACACGCTGCCCTGCAACCTCCTGAAACAGTGTCAACCTAGCCTTTAGTATGCCCATGTGAATGAAACATTACACCCAGCACAGCCCCCCCCCCCCCACCCTTACATCTAAGAGCACCTATCAGAGTCCCCCCTTACATCCAGGGGTGCCCAGCAGAGTCCCCCCCTTACATCCAGGAGTGCCCAGCAGAGTCCCCCCCTTACATCCAGGAGTGCCCAGCAGAGTCCCCCCCCTTACATCCAGGGGTGCCCAGCAGAGTCCCCCCCCTTACATCCAGGAGTGCCCAGCAGAATCCCCCCCCCCTTACATCCAGGAGTGCCCAGCAGAGTCCCCCCCCTTACATCCAGGAGTGCCCAGCAGAGTCCCCCACCTTACATCCAGGAGTTCCTAGCAGAGTTCCCCCCCCCCCCTTACATCCAGGACTGCCCAGCAGAGTTCCCCCCCTTACATCCAGGAGTGCCCAGCAGAGTCCCCCCCCCCCTTACATCCAGGAGTGCCCAGCAGAGTCCCTCCATCCTTACATCCAGGAGTGCCCAGCAGAGTCCCTCCCCCTTTACATCCAGGAGTGCCCAGCAGAGTCCCCCC